GAGGTGGTTTGTGGATTCCATTCCCACTTTTTCGGAGGAACCCCATCTCTAAAATTAAGTCACAAAAAGTAGACAATTTATGACTGCGGGGGCGTGAGGCGGAGGCAACACTTATCCCAAAATAACACTTGTGCCATCCGCAGTAACGATGTATCCTCTCTCTCTCTCTCTCTCTCTCTCTCTGGGCCTCCTTCCTCATTGTTAGGCTTGGATTTTAGGCATGTCTAGACTCTTCTTTTGAGGTCCCAACAATAGCAGCGACAATCGTATTATCCGCAGCAGAGCGGTACCTCCAAAAAACTGCAACAAAAAATACAAATCGATGGCAGAACTCGATTACTATCGATATCGATTGCGTTATTGTGTTATTGCGTCTGGCGTCATGAGAACAGCTGATTTTCTGACAATATGGTTTATGGAACTATGGAAATGGAACGAAAGAACAAGACTTGAGAGAAAAATCCTTTATCCAATGATTTCTATAATAATAATAATAATAATTTTGTTGTTCAAGAGAATTCAAATTACAAGAGACTTTAATAAATGGAGGAACTGAATGTTTCATTCGAATCACAGATGGAAAAACACCTTCTATGCATTGCGAAACATTTATTCATAGTTGATTGACATTCAAGTAGGTCTTTAAGCTCTGGAACACTCCCTTCTCTGTATCTGGGGGGGGTGGGGGGCCTCCTAATATCATTTTGGCCACATCGATGCATGGCATGGAGGCTGCGGCATGCCACTCATCCTTTGGCTGTCTGCTGCCCTTATCGTCTCATCAGCTGGCTAACTGACTGACTGTTGTGCCTGTTGTTGATGGGCCATTTGCCCCTGCCCCTGCCCCAGAGGCAGACACGGACACGGACACAGTGCCAGCCACTGCCACCTGGCACCCGCATACCATAGAATCCCATGGAATCCCCATATAGAAATGTTCTCCTTTTTCATCTCCTGATGTGCGCTTGGGTGATAAATAAAAACTGTCTGCGCCTATGTGGCTACTGTCTGTCTCCCCGGGTCCCCGTTCCCGGTCCCGGGCTCTCCTTTCCCTCGTTTTTTTTTATTTAACAATGTCTGACTTTTTGCCATGTAAGCTGAGACCTTTTTGGGGTGACATTGAAACACATGCCAAACAGAGGAAATTCCAAAAGCCGCAGCCGCAAAAAAAAAAAAAAGATTCAATTTAACTCGGTTCCGCCTTGCGCTCTCTCTCTCTCTCTCTCTCTCTCTCGCTGTGCTTTTGGCCATGTCTATTGGCCATTTAAGCATTTCAATGCGGTGCCCTGCCACTGCAGCTTAACAACTTCATTTGGGCCTCGATACGGAACTCATAAATCAAATGCAGTCAAAGAAGTTCCAAAACGAAACACTACGAAAAATATCAAAACAAAACATTCGATGCAGGATTAAAGGATGTTCTGGTCAAACACTCGTATCGAATATGCAATGAATATATGTATGAATGCAATGAATGGAGTTGGAAAAGGCTAACCGATAAATCATGCGGAATTTTGAATGCATTGAATAGGAGCAGAGGATCTATTGGATAAGGCTGGGAATCAAGAAACGATTTGGGGCTTATTCGAAACGAGCGACAGATCTCGTAATGCATTTTGGATGGATGCATTTTTCTCCTCCACAAAAAGAAAGAGACACTTCGCAGTAAATAAAGCTTTACGAACAGCTGATGAAAGCAACCCTGTGTCTTCCGCTTAACAGCACGTTCTGTGCGCTGAACAGCACCATTTTATTCTTTATCGTTCCGACAAATTACAGGCCTCGCGAAAGCCGCATTGTTTTTTCGACAAATTTGTCTGGCTATCAACTTTTTGGGACCTTAATTCGAAGTCGAGAAAACATATCCCATGAGTCTATAAACAATATATGTATATCGCAAACCGATACATCCTTTACTTTGTTGGGGGATATATGTATGTACAATCTTCGGTTAAATTTGATATCCATCCATAAGACAATGCCTGAAACATCGTGCCGAGAGTCATTCCGATAGACCGAGGAGCGCTTCCGCATGACATTGATTGACTTTCAAGAGTTTCGCATCAAATATCTGTGATATCTAAATATCTATTCCGATCCCTGGCTCCAATACAGACACCATCCGGCGAGTATTCAATGCTTCATCGTTTACTGTACAGGTGGCATCCCCCACCGGACGGACTTCGCAGTAATCACCACAGACATCTAATGATTGCCCCAGCTGTTGACCCAGCCCGGCCCCCACTCGCTCCATTTACACATCTCCTGCCGGACATCGATTGGGTCCATCAGCCAGAGAGAGGGAGAGAGAGTGTTCTAGGGCTCGACATTTGCTGCTAATTACATTCTGTGGTCGGCATAACAAATCCCGCTGCCAGATGGAACAGAAAAAGTGTTTTACGTGGGGGCATGGCCGGTGAATGGAGATGGAAATGCGAAGCATACGCACATGTGACCAAACCTCCTGCTCGCCCCCCCCGCCCTCAGCATTTATGATTGATGGGAGAGTCTATTGGAAAAAAAGCAGGGGAAAAATCTGTTCAGCTTTCAGGTTCGATTTCGATGGGGGGAAACGGAAGGCGGAAGGCTGGACACAACAAGTAATTAAAATACCAGGCAGGCAAATGGTTCAGGTTACGCGCTGGGCTCTCTCTGTTGTTGCATGCAGCAGGCCAGGCAGTGCGAAGGAGTGGGGGGGGGGGGAGGGACACTGCAAGAAATTCCGAATATTCCTAGTAAAATGATGGACATGCTACAAGAATCGAGTTTTTCGGTATTATTCTGGTAATTCCAGTCATCCGTTTGGTATTTGTGTAGATATGGCATTCCATTCCATTGCATTCCAATTTGACGACTCTTTTCTCTGTTTGTTCCGTTTCCAAGCGTTTCTATTTTGTTATATCATACTGCGTTTCATTCTTCTTGTTTCTTCCACAAAGCTCCTACATTTTTCTCTCTCTGTAGCAGCAGTGGTTCCATTCAGTTCGGTTCGGTTCTGTTCTGTGCAGCGTTCGATTCAGTCGTAGTTCCAAGCATATTGATTGATTTTTAATTACAAACATTTACACATAAAAAGAGTAACCCTCGGTGGGGAGAGATTCAATCGTTCAATCGTTCAATGGGGGGTCTCCCGCTTTCCCGTCTCTACTTCAATTTCAATTAAATGGCTTTTTATTAAACGCATAAACAAATGAAAATAGGCGGGCGAGGAGCACTGGGCCACATGGCTGCTGTGTGTCCAGCATCCTTAATGGGGATTTAAAGGAGCTTTCAGACGCGTTCGCCGTATAATTGCCAACGTCGACGTCGACGCATGCAATTAGCAACAATGCAAGAGGCAGAGCAAGAAACAGAGCCAGAGATGGAGAAAGAGAGAGAGAGAAAGAGAGAGAGAGAGAGAGAGAGAGAGATGGAGTTCAAGGGAGATGCAAAAAGCGGCACAACAGACAGATTTGTCCGAGGGGGAAACGCACTGAAAGAGCAGCCAGCAAAATGCAAAAGTTGGCGAAAAACTTTGTGTCTCCCAAGCCCCTCCCAGCCCCACCCCCACACAATAGGATCAAAGGGAAGAAAGAGTAACGAGGAAGTTGCATTGCAATCAATGAGCCATTGTTACGACGCGTTCGACAATTGAAAATTGCAGAAACCGGTACGAAAAAAAAAGGGAATACGAGCCAGATTTCCATTGAAACGAGTGGCGCGCGTGCCATTTGCCATTTTGTCGTTGTTTTTGTTCCCGTCTGATGTACCCTGGCAGGACGAAGACGAAGGCATGCCGGCACTTGATGAAGCGACGCCATACGGCGCGTAATCTGTTACTTGTTCCAATCCACTGTTCCAAAATGGTCAACGCACCATCTTTTATCATATTTTCCTGCATAGAAATATACGTTCCTTTCTGTCATTCCCTTCTGTTTTTTTTCGTTTCGTTTCCATTGTTCCCGTGATTGCTATTCGATCAAGCGTTTATCGATTAGTTTTTGGGTATTATAAGGCATCTTTTCTATTAACAATAAACGGCATGGAATGCCTCTGGCTCTGCTGCGTTTCCGTTCCCTTCCCACAAAGTGGCAAAGGCAGAGTTTGAGGCTCAGGCTAAGGGCTGGCCAGGCCTTTGAGAAATGGAGAATGTTGGTACCTTAATGAGTTTTACCCCAAACTGCTTAAACACGTGATAATTGCTGGCTCAGTCCCTCTCTGAGGCTCTCTGGCTGTGTCCACCTTATTGAATCTGTACAATTTGTTGGACATTCCCCCCAACAGGCATTACCTGCTCCAGCCATCAGCCATCCCCCATGCACACACACATTTTGTAATTTCAATTGTCTATGCAAAAGAGCTTTGAATCGCAAAATGGTCAGTCCATGGCCACGGACGTGGACCCAGCTCCTCGTTCAGTCCTGTCTCCTGGCTGACCAATCCTTGGCTTGGCTTGGCTTCGCTTGCCTTTTGTCTCTTGTCGCCTTTTGTGGCTCCCTGCTCTATTGTCTGCCATTGGCTGCTCGACTCAGATAAATTTCAATGAATTTTGCAAGCGAAGCAGAGTCGTGATTCCAGTCCAGACCGGGTTCTCCCTGCACCCTGGACCCTGGCTCTTGGCTACACATTTCTTTGTTTATCTTTATACATTTACAATTAAAAGGGCTTCGCATTGTTGTCCCTGTCGCAATATTAATGAATCTTCCCGTTCTCCCTCGTCCACAGAGCCGTGTATCAGGGAGGACTCGTTAATTGATTGCAATTTGTTTATGTAAATTCCATCCAACGAATGAATGAATGAATCTGTTTTTTGTGTCTGTTGTCCCTCTCCCACCTACCACCTCCCACCTCCCCCTGGTTTCATTGTTGTGCAAATTTCCGTGTATGCGGTCACACACTCCCCAGGCCCCCACGTCCCACGCCCCAGGACCAGCAGAAATTGCGTTTGTCCGCAAATTGTCTCATTAAGCTAAATCAATAAATTAATAATTATCGCATTGGGCGCGTTTTCGGACACTCACCCCTTCCTCCTTGCCCTGCAGCAGATGAACGGCACCGGAGCGCTGGAGGTCCGGCAGGAACCACATGGGATGGGTGAGAAGCAGTCGCTCCGTCTGCTCCAGATCGCAGGGCGGCGAATTGTCGCTGGAATCGCGACTGGTCTCCTCGTCGCGCTCATCCTCGCTGGAGGTCTCGCCCTCGGCCAGGATGCCGCCCTCGGAGCTGGACACCAGAGATGTGCGTGACTGTAAGCGATAGAGAAAAGGATATAGGTTAGATACACGAGTAGATCGTAGAGAGTTTCCATTGGGGCTCAGAAACAGGTTTGAATCGCGGTCAATGCCGTTCAATGGTTCCAATCATCACTTTCGGGTGAGCTGAATATTCGTTATTTGTCATTTTTGGAGACCCACACTTCGCTAGTTCACAGCACTAGCCGAAAGTATCGATATGTGCAACTATCGGTTGGGTTTGAATAAAGGGCGATCGTTTTTTACTTCTGGAAAAGCAAAGAACGTTCTCGCATGTTAAGGACCTCCTTCCATCCAATCGCAACTGTTAAAAGCCTTGCTTTAAGCACATTTTCAGGGCTCAGCTGGCTGCAATCTAGGGACAGCACTTTTGCCAACACTTGACACATTGCCATTGGCCATATTTTGTAACATCCTCCATCCATCATACACACATTCACATTACACCATGCCTCCACATTCATTTTGAGTGCGATTCCATGTCAGAACATCAAAAATTGTTACGGGACGCAACTTTAAAAGCGGCAAAGGCCCAGGGCCAGGTCCTGCCAGCCGCCTGCCGCCTGCCTACCAAAACTTGTAGCAAGAGAAGGAGCGGCAGCAGCAGTAGCCGCAGGCCGGGACGACAGAAAACAAGGCGAAAAACAGAGACGAAGCGACTATAAGATACCCCTTCCTTGGATCACAGTCTTGGAATGAAATGACATCTCTATGGCCTTCGTAGGTGTGTACTCCCCGCCCCATAACGGGGTGCACGGTGTGTAGAAGGGCACAGAAAAATTCTGCTGCTGTAGAAGAGGCATCCACAAAGCAGCAGCAGCAGCAGCAGCAGCAGCAGCAGTGGCAGTGGCATAGGCGTTTTTAATTGAAAATTGCCGTGGGCTGGCTTTGAAGTTATCTCTCTCTCTCTCGCTCTCTGTCTCTCTCTCTGGCTGGGTGGTTGCGGGAGTGGAGTGTGTGGCACAGCAGTCATATCGTAGCATACTTTTGTGCCGCATCAAAAGTGCAGACTGCGAGTGGAGTGGCAGTGGCAGTGGCAGGGGAGTGTGTTGTGGCACCCTCTGTCATGCCATGATGATGTTTGCAGAGCGTTAGCGATGCCAAAAATTGATGCCAAGGCAAATGCCTGTGCAAATGAAAAAAATTATTCGAAAATAAATACCACACAAGTTGGGGAGGGAGGCAGGGAGAAACGAGATGCCCAAAGAGATCTGCCTGTATCTGTCAGATAAATGGTTAATGTTGGAATGGTCTCGGTTTGTGGCAATCCACTCGCTTATGCGACATTTTTACAGCAAATTTCTACTTGAGGAAAATGACAATATTTTCTTACATTGAAGGCCGATCTTCAAAACATAAAACATGCGTATTTTATGGCACATTTGAAGTGCTGCTGAGATGGATTTTTGGAAAAGCTAAAGCACGGGACAAAGGGGTCAGAGGGGGGGCAGGATTTAATTCTACGAAGGGTTATTATTATTATTATTTTTTTACGTTATTTTTGCGGAAGAACTTTTACCGCAAAACATTTTTCTTGTAATTAAAAAAAATAAATAAAGAAAAAAGTATAAATAAAAAATATGTGAATGAAAAAAAATGTATGAATAATAAAAAAATATATACATATGTATATATATATATAAATATGAAAAAATAAAATATAAATAAAAAAATATTTAAATAAAAAAAAAATAATAAAAAAATTAAATAAATATAACTAATAAAATATTTATATAATACAAAAATGTAAGTAAAAAAATATATATATAAAAATATATCAATGCAAAAAATATACAAACACAAATTTAATATATTAATAGATTTAATAAAATTGAATGCAAAATGTTTCATTAATTAGTTTTAGGAATCTTCTGTATATATTATATGGAGAAAAAATGATATGGTAATGATATGTTTTATTGGGGTTTTTTTTTGGTTCCTTATATATACAATTTAGGCAGATCCCACCATGGCTTTATTTATAGAAAATGTACTATTTTTGTGGCCTCATGATGGCCCTGCAGGGCTGGGCAGGGCATGGCAGTGCGTTGGTAGAAACTCAAGTGCCTGTCAAGGGGCTGTGGCAAAAAGTCAAGTGGCTCGCTCGTTACCACCACAACAGCGTCATGGCCATGGATAACACCCACCCACCCCCCGCGGGTTCATAAGAAGTGAAAAACAAAAAATAAGGCGGCAAAAAAAGGGTCACTAATTGAGTTATTTCTGGCCGAGTGTCAGATTGGGTTGCCTGACTCACCTTTTTCGATGATACGATACAACATCTACATCTACATCTATCTGGATAGAGGGATGGGTTACGTCCACGGCCACTGGTAGGGGGGCCGTGTGTAAATTTGATTTACGGTGCCGGCAGCGATATTTAATTTTTGATGTCATTTATTAAGCAAAAGCAAAGGAGCGCTTGGACGGCAGAGTGCAGTGGAGTGGAGATCAAGTTGCACGGGTTTCGGTTACATTCGCAGCTGTCTGTGTCCCTTTTCTGACGCATTAATCATACGCAGAGTTGACACAACGACAGGAAATGAAACCAAGAAGCTGCTGCCACACAGAAAGAGAGACCCCAGACATGCCAGACAGGAGTCGTCTCAAGACAAAACGCAATGAAATGGAAATGTAAATGCAAAATGTTCGCCTGTTTATTTGCCAACCATTTAAATGCGAGAGAAGACCCCAGCAGACAGCAGATGATGGAGACATGGGGCAGGGCAGGACAGCGCAAAAAAAAAGAAGAAAAAAAAAGGGAAAATTGCGCAAATCCCTTGAAGAAATGTTTGAAATTTTTCAAAGCTCACAGCGGGGTTTCGGGTTCGGGTTCGGGTTCTGGTCTGGGAAATGTTGCGAAATTATGCTTAAATCAAAAATCACAGCAGCGGCAAAAGAAAGCGCGCACTGCAGGAGGCAGCAGGCAGGAGGCAGCAGGCAGGAGGCAGCAGGCAGGAGGCAGCAGGCAGGAGCACAACCCTTGAGCGAGTCCTGGGACCGGGAGGGCTGTGTGTGTGAGGTAAATGCTGCGCATATTTTATACCCTGCATTAGGTCCTAAGTATTGCTTATTACATCAGTGCGGTGCGGTCCCTTTTCCGGGTGCCGTTGCCCCCCACCCAAGGGCGGAGGGTCGTCTCGAGTGGAGGGCCCCAAAAACCCTCCACTAGCGACTGGGATAGAAACTGTTTGGCATCGTTGTTCAGTGCTCTGTGCTTTGGCAGACGTTCAAAAGTCATTAATTTGATGGTTTATCCAGTAGTTAATTCTCAAAGTCATGTGCAAATTGGCAACCAACCCGACCGAGGGGCGCTGCTGCATTCCCTTCGATCTTGATATCTATTTCTGGCTCTAAAAACGATTCTTATTAAGCTGTGATTAGTTCTCCGCTCAACCCCCAAGAGCCACCCCCAAAGAAACCTTAAAAAAAATCAACTTCTGAGTAGCTGGGCTGCATTTTTGAGTGCCACAGATGAGGGTTGCTGTGTTGCCTGGTGTCCTCATGTGTGGGAGGTGGGGGTTTTGCCTTTTGCGACTTTAAATTTGGCGCAACAATGGACAGCCACTCCTGGCCCAGACCCAGGGCCAACACTTTCACGGCCAAGGACCGGCAGCAGCGGAAGCAGCCACGAGACTGCAGACTGCAGACAGTAGACAGACGAAGAAAGTATTTTCGGCTTCCGTTCTGGCAGCTGTTGAAAGTTCCAGACCCAGTCTCAAGACCTTTCCACCTTTCCGCTAAAAATATTGGCAAACAATTGTCTGGCTCTGGCTCTGGCTCTGACTCTGGCTCTGGCTCTGTCGATGTCTGGGGTGTCTCGATTCCTGCCAATATTGGTGGAAATACTTTTGGCCAAAATTCAATGGCAATATAAAAATTCCCAGCCTGTCCCTGTTCACACATTGCATCCTGGTAGGACTCCTTTCGTTGCCAGCTACTGGCATTTAATAAATTACACAAGAAACCAGGAAAAACGCATGGCAGGGGAGCTGGGGAGAAACTATTTATTCGCTGCCGCCCAAAAGCAGGCAATGACAATTTGTCAAATGCGACAAACAACAAAACTACTGCTTCTGCCACGAAATGAGCCAAGAAGAGGGCCAAGAAAGATGCTAGTCGCCCTCTTTTTTCGTTGGAGATGCTTCAAATTAGAATTAATTCCTATTAGATCTTTCATTTATTATTGTCAGGAGTTCAACAATGATACAAGACTTCTGGGAGCACAAGAGTTGAAGGAAAACAGATGGGAAAAAGGGTTTATAATTACAGCAAAGGGTACGGACCAGCAGAGTGGGAGATGAAGGGGAACCTATCTACTTGTATCTCCATCTTGTACTTGTATCTCTATCCACCGCATAGCAGACACTCCACAGGCAGCCGCCGGTTCGTACTGGCCTTTCCGTAACGCGTCATCCTTCATCTTAATTGCAGATCGAATAAAAATAGTTGATTTATTGACACAATTACAGGGGATATTTAGCTTTTGGTGTGTTTTATAAAGAATTTTTCTGAAGCCAACCCCCAATGGACGGATTTTGTGGCTCCCATTTACCAAGACCTAATGGGATCTCCTTCTGTAGAGTGCAGGGAATTTGCATTCAGGCACAATCTGGAGGATTCTGGATCTGGATTCTTTAAAAGGCTGAGAAAAGTCTTGGCCTGTCTTTGGCTCACACTTTGGATTGGGTTCCAGTGCGAGTTCCAGTCCAAAAATAATGTTTGATCTGTGCTTCCCGACCTCCAAGCTTCAGAGGAGGAATCGCATGAAACGAATCAAAAGTTCTTTGGACACGCCACTCAGGGCTAAGGTGAAAGATCCTTCGGCAAATGGCAAACTTCCGAATCAATTTAATCAAACAGTGGAGTACATTTGTGTATGAAAGGGTAATGTGTCTTTAAATCACTCGCAAATAAAGAAATAATTTAAAGGAAAAAAGGACAGAGAGAGAGAGGGAGAGGGTGTGCCATAGCCAGAGCTTTCAAGGGCATCAATTTTGAAAGGGATTTGTATTCCTCCGCCTCTCAAAAAACAGCCACGTTTCCTGTTTCCGCCTGATCCGCCAGATAACGGGTCATATGAGCAGCAGCAGCCATCCCTCCCCCCCACAGTCGTCGTGTGTCACGGGGTGCGAACAGGATGAGGGATCAAAGTCCCTGCTGCATAAAGCATCTCTTATCGACGACATCCAGGGGCCAGGGGCCAGGGGCCAGGGTCCAGGGTCCAGGGTCCAGGGTCCAAGCGTGAAATTAATTTCATAAAAATCACACACACACGCCCACACACACACACCCACACACACAGCTTCCGCCTACACTGTGCAACAAATTGCATAATTATTTTGTGGCCTTTGTCGGCTCGTTGGATATTAGTGGACAAAAATAAATTGAATACATAAATTGGGAATTTTTAAATTAAGGTGGTCCATAGAATTCTCTTGATTAAACGACCCTCCCAATGATCTCTGGAGGATGTTCCATTGTTTGTAAGATAATTCAAAAGCTGGCCTGCTTTAGGCATAGATTTTAATGATATTAAATCAAAAATAAAACTAAAATGTCCTCCGTGAAACAGGCACACATTTTTGTTTCCTCAAAACTAAAAATTTAAAGCCTATAATTTTTAATTACAATTAAATTAAATTTAAATCAACCAAAATGTAATAAATTTTTTTAATACCATTTTGAATACCATTTTTTTTTGGTTATAATTTTATTCTAAAATAAATATGATTAAAAACCGAAAAAAAATAAATAAAAAAAAATTCAAAATTGAATCACATTAAAATATTTCCCCAGGGTTCCTTGAAATCTATATTAGAATCCTTGGCCACGAACATCCCTTCTGGCGTACCTTTTCAACTGAAAAACTGTCGAAAAACCCATTTGATCCCCTTCCATATGGCCAATGGGTTCCCTTTATGAGGCCCTGTTCCGCTGTGCTGCTGCTGTTTCTGGTATTTTGGACCTTCCTTCACTTGAGTCCAAGCGGAGTGATCCCTTTTCGGTGTTAGACTTCGACTTCTGTGTAAACCCCCTAGAACTGAGGGGTATGTATCTCTAGTGGGGCCCAGAGGCAGGCAGGCAGCCTTCCTTGCTGTTAGTTTGACGAAAGGTGAGCCCTGCACGTGTCCTGCTCTCTTTCTATATATATCTATCCAAGAGCATATCTATATATCTATCCATCTCTCTAGCGATGTGTGCATGCGGGCAAATTGCACTCGAGACTGAATTATTGCCTGACGCAGCGCCGCAACAAAACGTGCAACAGCGCGACAGGATGGTACAGAGGAGAGCAGAGCAGAGCAGACCAGAGGACGGGAGTCCCTGTGCAACATCCGTGGAAATAAAAGATAAATAGCAGCCACGTAAAATGTTGTTGAATGTTTTAAAAAACCATAAAAACCACAGAGAATTACATTTAATGGCAGCAACAGCAGTGGCAGTGGCAGTGGCAGCACAGCGGGACTGTGCCTCAAAAACGGGGAACAAATGTGGGGCCCAACCGCAATGGCAACAACAGAGAGTCCTGGGACCCACAGACAGACGGAAGGACAGATGGAGGAGAGACAGAGAGTCCTCTGTCTGTGCCGACTGTGACGGTGACATCCTCCTATTCCAAAATATTGCGAGGCGAGTGGCGAGAAGCGAGTGGGGAGAGGCGAGTGGTAAGAGGCGAGTGGCGAGAGGCGAGTGGGGAGAGGCGAGTGGGGAGAGACGAGTGGGGAGAGACGAGTGGCGAGTGGCAAGAGTCGAGTAGTGTGTGCAGAAAACAGTTACAGCTGTCAGCACATTCTGATTCTAACGGTTCTACGACGCCGTTCCCCTCCGTTATGAGAGCGAGACGAATGGGCTAATTGAAGCGCCATGTTGTCGATTTGATGCCCAGCGCCAGTGCCAGTGCAGCCGCCGCACTATGAATGCATAATTAACGGGAAGCCAAAGCCTCCGGCCTATCCACCTCCCCGCTCCCGCCCCCCGCGAAGACGAATGGAAATTCGGCAACGTTGCACGCAAAATGCAACCAAAAAGGTGCACTGAGAGAGTCGCACTCGAAACATGCTACAGATATCACAAAGATAGTGAAGGAACGACTGGACATGGAACAGCGATATGTAAATCTAGGAATGGGGAATGGAGTGGAACCAATAATAATCAATATATTATGGGTGGAATCCATGAAAATGGAACATGCAAGGCCAAGGATTGAATATTAGAGGAAGAGGAATATTAGGAGTGAAACATAAACAACTAAAATTTAACCTTGGAGAAGCAAAGGCTGGGAATGGAGTGCAACCATTGATAATGAAGATTGTTTGGTTGCAACCAATGGAAATGGAACATTAGAAAACTGATCAATGCTCTATGAGAGGCTGAAAAATAAACTTGAAAAACCGCAAGAGAACAATGGAACGATAACAGTAAAAACTTAACCTTGGAAAACAGAATGCGGGATATGGAATTGGAATTGGATCATTGGATAAAGATAATAAATAATAATAACGAGGAGGCACTCAAAATGTATGCCCGATACTCAGTCAGTATGGCTCCTCTCCGCCAGAGGGCGCACACATCGTACTACATTGGAACGGGGAATTTTGGCAATGGAACGTTACCATTTACCATCAGAAATGCATAAAAATCTGGCTTTAAATCAGTGGAAGAATAGGAATTCGCTGTAATGTCTCAAAGATCCTGCGATTGCCATGGCACTTCCCTGCCAGCCCTCCCCCACATTTGTTGGGATGGCAGGGCGTTCGCCACTTGTTTCGCTCAGTGTGCGGTTTTAGTGCATAATTAACAAGTGAAAATGGCCAACAGTGCAATTGCAATGTCCGAAAACGGACAAATGGCAAATGCAATAAACATTCAGCTCAAGTAATAAGCCGGCACATAAAATATGCCATTAAATGCCCGATGGCCAGCAGTCCAGAGACCCAAGACGACGAAGACGGAGGCGGCGACGGACAAGAGTCCAGTGGGAGACTGGGAGTAAGGACACAGGGACATACAGCAGGGCACACAGCCTGATGCTGTCAAAAAGTCAAAGCCATTAGGCGGACTCACACAGATACAGACGGCCACACAGACACCAGAGATGCGTCCGGTGCCATCAGAAAGGGAGCAAAATTGAAACCGGAGATGGAAGCGCCCTGACGGGTGTCGCAGGACTCCTCCTGCCAGTCGTCCGGCACCACTTTTCACACGAAACTAAAGCAAATGAACAACGAAATTCCAGGACACACTTCATTAGTGTGTGCCACAGCTCGAGAGTGGAGAGTGGAGAGCCGGTAAGGCGGGGCATGAAAAAAGGCAGGTTGTCTCCACCGCAGGACATGGACAATCATGTTTTGGACGTGGCTCTCATCCAGACGCCTCATTGCCTCTGACAGGCAAAAATATTGCATGTACAACCTTTCAAGCCTGATTGCTGCGGTTTTTTGGGTCGCTCGACAGGACAGGACCCCACCCAGGATGGACAAACATATCGGCAAACATTTTACCTGTAAAGTTGAAGGGAAAATATGCCTTGATTTTTCTGTTTAAGATGTTCTGTCGTTCGAGTCAAAATTCATACTAGGTGGGGTATGAGAACCGATAGATGTACTGAAAATATCCCAGAAGCATCCTGAAGAAGGTTTAAGCAGGTTTGTGGCATAATTTTTATCATTCATTCGAGTAATTCCATCAATCGCAAGGGCAGGCGATGAGTAGAAAGGTTTTCTACAGTGTACAGAAGCCCCACGAAGAAATAATCAACGCCAATGAGCAGGAGAATCAGTCCTACAACCAGGAAAGTCGGGAAGACGCATTGAAGCCGGAAATGGAAGCAGAATCCGAAGAAGAAGCGTTTGAGGATGAAGAAGCATCCCCCAAAGACATTTGTGGGGCAGAGACGAGACACGATCTGGAAATGCCACATGACAAAGCGGAAAACAAAGATGATCAAGCCTATGGCCTGGAAGTGCCTGAGAAAGCCATGAAGATGGATGAATATGTTCAAGAAAATGGCTTTGAAAGGCGTGAAAATAGCAGAAAGAACGATGTCAAGGAGCTGTCTTCCGATGAAGAATCCTTTATGGAGCAGACGGCGGACAGCGTTCAAGCCCTGACTGACGCAGATGGGGAGAGGGAAAAGCTTCAAAAAGATCTGTTGATTCGTAAAGGCAGAATCGCTGTTCTCGAATTGATCAGAGAAAAGAAGTTGAATGTGCGTTATGCACCGCAATTCCTGCAACAGTTGGTGGCACAGACCCAGGGCACCACTCCGGACAATGCACAATATTTCCTACAGCAGATTATCGCAGAGCAAAAGGAGAGCCTGGACCGCAAGGACGGAGAGTCGCTCAAGAAGCTGATCAAGACAAAGATATCAATGAACAAAGAGACCATCATACAGATGTGGATCAAGGAGTACAAGGACAGAAACCCGTTGACCCTGCTGACCGATTTCGATTTGGAGCATTTGGCCAACGGAGAGTCGATTTTTCAGGAGATGACCCACGACCAGATGCTGGCCTACAACACGGTGGAGGGCCAACGACTGGAGACGTGCATGCTCCTGTACAAGGGCATTGCCAGCGGCCTCTTGCTGGCCCTTGGCGGCATCGTGTTGTGCGGCTTGCTGGATTCCTTGTTCGGTTAGCCGGACAGACACTGGATGGGAAGGCTACAACAAAATTGAGCATGCAGTTTAGGCAGCTACAAAATTGCAAGGTTACAAAGAATTCTTTGACAATTGAACTCCCAAATCATTAAAATGTAATTACAATTATCTTATTGTCGTTCTTTGCATGGCGTTTGACAGATTTCCCATAACCAAACGGCCCCACAGGTGTAGTACTTGCACTTTTTGTGTATGAAAATATTCTACAGATCTCGTGTCACGGTGCTGGTGGTTCTATTCCTACCCAATGGAAGGTCGTAAAGTATTTTGTACTCTCGTATTACGATCCACATTTTTGCCATCGGATTTTCAGTATTTTTATGAACAAAATGTAAAAATAATCAAGTATGCTTCTATTTGCGACATTTGGTTAATTTATGTAGGTGTTACAGGGTACAATGGCATTGGGCCGTCGTAAGAATAAAGCAAGAGGATGACGACCACAGAATGACGAAAATGTGCGTGTGAGCATGTCGGAATTGCGTGAATCTCAACTGCAAGAGGCACAAGATGTACGAAATCAACAAAGGATTCATCTCGCCTTCGAGTACGAGCCAAATGTTGAATATTCCGATCATTCAAAAGTGCTGATTGGTGCTCCAGATTGAAACCTCTTCCCGAAGTCGATTCAACAGAAATATTTCCCAAATGGTTTACCCTTAAACCCGCCTTGCATAGACACAGTAACCCCTTCGGAAGCAGGGCATAAAAACCCTAATAGAACAAGCGGCTCAAAGTACAGTCACGTCAAACAAAAAAGGGGGGATTGGCAATGCTCTCTAAGCCGCTGACAAAGCCTCACTAATACCGCTGCAATTAGCAAAAACGTGTGTGCACCTGTACAAACAGTTGCTTCGCCCGCCCCCACCCAAAAAAAAGAAAGGAAACCAGGTGGCAGGATGAGTGCTGTCCACTCGACATGGCCCGAGGCCAGGGGGAGATTAGAGCCCAAAGTTGTTTATGGTCCAAAGGCGGCCGATGGTCCGACAGCATTGCCAGCAGGGATAAAGCATAATGAAAATAATAAAGTTCCAGGACAGCAGCAGGAGCCGGCAGCAGGAGCATTGGTTGGCTCCTGGCTGCTGATCAGCGACTGGCGATAAAAACTTTTGTATGCAGCAGACGAGGCAGAGAGTCGGTTCTGTCGTTGCACGTGTGTCGTGTTTTTAGGGCTGTCTGTCTGTGGTCCCAGCCGACAACACTTTCGACCAGAGCAGACATTTTTATCGCCACCTTCCACAGCTGTCCGTTGTCCGTTGTCCGCTGTCCGCTGTCCTCTTGCTGCTTTTATTGAATATTCATAAATGGCCCAAAAAAGCGGGGAATGGAGGAGGCCTCTGTCTCTGTCTGGAGTGGAAGTGGAATCAATACGACAAGGCAGGAGAGCGTGCAACAGGAAGTGCAACACATGTCTCCACTGGCCACTGCCACTGCCGGGCTTGGCAATCTCCTTTGGCCACTTCAATTGTGGTGTTCCACACACCCACAGACTAGTTTCTCGACTTTGAACTTGTTTGTGTGTCGTCTCGCCGTATTAAGATTTTATTGCCTACATATTTGAGCAGATTGGCAGAGCCCTGTGCCCCCATTCTCATTCAGAAGTTCGGCAACGTTGCCAAATTCGAGCTCTCGCCCAGGCACAAGTGGTATGTATGGAAATTATGAAGCAATTAGAACGCATGACTGCACTCCACTCTTAGCTTCAAATGGAGCCTGAATGCATAGCAACGCATATCAAATTAACTAACAAATTGACTTGTCAAAAACTCTTTTGCCCTCAAGGAAATTACAAACCATTAGCCAGAGAGACAGCGACAGACAGAGGGCTGTTCTGCCCCACACGCCCGCAACGTAAAAGGATTCACAGTTATTAATGAAGAAGAAAAGCCTGGGAAAAGCTCTTATTGGCACGCACGAACAATCTTCCATAATGAAGAACGAAACACTGAGGGATGGGATGGGATGGGATGGGATGGAATGGGAATGGATTGGCTGGTGTCGGACCAGCAGGAAGAACGGAGCTGTAAACGAAGCTATGGTTACCATAAAGATGGTAGATCCTTGGTTTATAAGACAGGCAACCCCCATCGCTATAGCCATCACTGGCTCCTGGGACATCGCACTGAATCCATAAAAACAAAACCGCAGAATCATAGAGAAGGACCATATCTACCAGATTGTCGAATTGGGTTGAGATCGAATCAATATTATAGGGTGTAGCCACCCGCTCTCTCCCTCTTCCACGTCCAGTGTGTGCCCTCTGTCGGAAGTACTTGTGCTAGAGAGGCAAAAATCGATGGTATTTTGTGAAATGTGAGAAACAGAACCAGCTTACTTGCTACATTCCTGTATAAAACCAATACTTACCTTTACTTTTAATCAAAGAGTGCCAAAAGCATTAAATAATTCTGCTAGTGGGTATCTTTTGGTTGGAGTAAGCAAAATCCCACCATTCCCATTCCCCATTCTCTTCTTGAGGCCCAGCAGGGCAACACGTAGCAAATTATGAATGAATGAGTGTGAATGTGAATGCGAATGAATGGAGAGAACCACCCCAGAGACGGGCCCATCGGCAGGCTGCGTAATTGGCACTTAGAGTGTGACACTGCCACTGCCACTGCCACACTGCCACTGCCACACTGCCACATGTGGAAAGCGGCTCGAATTAAGGCTCGACAAATAACCATGGGTCCACCGCATCCGCAGCCCTCCGCAAACCTCCCCAAAATTAGTTGCCATTATCCAAGATTACAGAAAAATGAGCCCCAGTATGACTTTGACTAGGGAATAGTGGCCATATCATATCATCCTCTTGTGTCCCATTAAATAGTGATTCGAGTTTGCTCTATAAATATCTGATTTTTTCCAGAAGAACCTAGTTTTTGCCATAGACCACAAAATAGGGTTGGCAAAGACCCATTTGAAATGAGAGGCTTACCCATATTTGAATTCAAGACAAACCCTACAAAGAGCCATCGATGTTCGATTGTGGAATATATCCTTTCATTGATGGGAAATTTTGACAGGGATTCTACTTGGATCTAATTGGAATTCTAAAGCTAGAAGAGGCTCATAAGCTTGGGGCTTTACCAAGATCTCAAGCCTTATATATCCAATATATTTTGGGTCTCTAAAATCATTTAGCGGACACTCACCTGACTGAGCTCATCTCGGGACTGGCGCGAGCACTTGGGCAGCAGGGCCTCTGTGTCGTCTTCGAAGACGCCGCCGCCATGGGCCATGTCCACCGCATCGTCGATGTCCGTTGTCGGCTCCAGGCTGCTGCTGTGCCGGTGGCTGCGACTGTCTCCGTTCTGGTTCGAGGAGTCCGCCGCCGCCGCCGTCATGGAGCTACCGGTTCCTACTCCGTTCTGAAGGCTCGACTGCTGCTGTTGTTGAGTCTTTTGTGACTGTTGGCCATTGTGATTGTTATTGCTGCTATTTATGTTATTGTTATTGTTGTTGTTGGCGGTGCTGTTGGTGCTGGCAGTGTGGCCAGACTCTCCGCCAATCAACGACTCCGCGTTGGTCTGTGGTGTGGCTGTGAGCCCCCCAATGGCCACCGATGATAGCGGTTCACTTGTTCTGCAAGAAATCAATGGGAAAATGGGAACTTAGTAAAGAAATCTGGTTGTATTCGGCTTAAAGGAAAGCAGTACAGTGCGTTTCGTAGCTTTAAAATTAAGAATCAATAAATTTTTCAACATTTTATATTCGAATCAACCCGAAAGAGTGCAAAACGGCTTTATTTGCGATAGAAAATTCTAAACGATTAACTCGATAAATTTAGCGATAATTATCGATAGCATTTATCGAAGCTTTAACTCATTTCACATACAAAAAAAAAAACGATCAGCAGTCGCTAAGACGGTGTCTGTTTGGTAAAAATAAATAAAACAAAATATATAATAAAAATAAATAAATTAAATAATAAAAATTAATAAATTATGTAGTAAAAAATAAATAAATTATATAGTTAAAATAAATAGATTAAATAATAAAACATACATAAAATATGATAAAAATAAATAAATGAAATAGTAAAAATAAAATAATTTTTAATTAATTAAGTAATATTTCAAATTTGATTTATCCATTTTATGGTATCAATACATATGTACATATTTCATACCTGTTTTCAGGACTGTTTGGTATGTAACAAATATTGATTTAAGAATTATTCAAAAATTAAATAAGCCATTGCAAGAAAAAGGTGTTTGTTTTTTCTAAATTATTTTTTATGAATAATACTAAATGAATATAAGAAAAAAACATGGAATTTTAAGAGGCCTATTAAAAAAAGAAAAAGTGTATATTTTGGTATATTTTATCCAGAACTCCGCAGGCGAACAGCTGGAAATGATTTCATTATTTTCCAACCCCCCAGACACATAAATCGATCTGGTAAATTTCTTTAAATATTCCCCCCCGCCCCGTATTTTGTTGGCTGTCAAACTGCAGTGTCAACCTCCGTTTTTATTTTTCCTTTCTTTTCCACAAGTGGCCAGGCCATCGAATGCCTTGAAGGACTATTCCGTTTCGGCTGGGAGCCACCCATTTGTCAATGAGAAGTCAGCTGTCAAAAGGTTAATTTGCGACACATTTTGTTTCTTCAGCAGGAAGCAGGCAGCAGGAAGCAGGAAGCACAGGACTCGCATCGTCATAGAGTGACGCCTCAAAAGCGGGCAATTTTACGCCATTTTAACAATATTTATACGACAGGACCCCACACAAAATGATATTAATGAATTTTTCCCGCACAAGAAACGGCAACAGAAAAGGAAAAGAAAAAAAAAGAGAAAGAAACTCCTTGTGCGCCTCAAGGACACTGCTGCCTCCTCCTCCTCCAGTCGAATCCAGGCCGGGAAAAAAGATGAAGGACGACCGACCACCCGGTCTGTTGATGGATCACAGAGGGAGGGAAAAAGAATGCGCTGTTTCGACAAACATTCTGACATAATCATGTCAAATTAACACGAAACAGAACGAACAAACAGGACATCGGATCAGCCACATGCAGTAGGGATAATAAAGCACTTGACAAGGCACTAGATTTGAGGCAGGCCCCGAAAAACAAACAGCAAAGCGCCAAATGGAAGTCTGTGCGGCCTACTTTTCGGGGGCGCCACTTAATATGGAAATTATGCCGCCCCAACAGCCACTCCCATCTGCCCTCAAACGTTTGCCTGCTGCTGTCTGAAGGCCAAGATTCGGCGAGGAACTATCTAGCTTAGGAACTAGTTCACGAGTTCACTTTTGTAAGCAACTGTACTTTGATTGATGGCCTCTATTCGGAGGAAAGATCAGCTGCTGCTCCACGGTTCCACTGATAACCGAAAGCATTGCCGAGAAGATTTTGAGTTATGATTAGATTACGACGACTTTATTTTTATCTTGAAATATATTTTGTATCTTTATCTCCCCTTCTCCCTAATCTTGGGGCGACGAGAGCAAACTCAATTATTAGTCTCGAAACAAATGCAAAAGTTCAGGTCCACTGGGAAGTGAGGCCTGGTCCTGGACACACAGGAAGTTTCGCTTCACAGTGCAATCACCCGTCCAGCCATCCCCGAGTTGTCCCCGAAAAGTTTCCCATGAATATTTGCTTGTTCTCTTCCACAATAAGAGATGAAAATGCTTGGTTCTAAATCAAAGTCGAAAACAAAACAGAAAAGTACATAGTACTCGCATGCGGGTGGGTCTCGCCTGCCAGGATGCGGATGCGGATGCGGATGCGGTTGGATTGTAGAGGATTGCAGTGATGGGGGATACCCCAGTGTTGGTCTGAATAGAGTCGAGGGCACTCTGTGTATGCAAATTAGTTGTGACAGCTTTCAAAAAGTTTCACATAGTTGTCGATGGCTGCCAAAAGAGTGCTTCCGTTCTCCTCATTTGACAGCTGACACATCGGAAAGGCAGAGTGCACAAGAGTTCAGAACGTTCAGAGTTCATGGAAGAGAGAGACTGCTGCATTCCTGATGAAGTGCCAGAGGAAGGGCGGCCTTGTCTGTGCCCCACGGGCACACATGCAAAGCTCAAACCGTTTTTGATATGGTAATGTGGCAATGTGGAAATGCGTGTGTGGAATGTACCATTATTAGATTTTTACTCAGTAGACGACTCGTTTTGGGTGTCGTCCTGGGCTCTCCCTCTCTCTCCCTCTCTCTCTTTCTCTCGAGGGTGCCATAAAGTAGTAATACTAATTAAGTTGTGTATTATGCATGTGCAGCATGTGCACCCCCCCAAAGATGAGGAATGAATCTGTGTGCGTGGGTGTGTGCCCCGGGGTGTCGTGTCTGCAGGGATGCCTGCTGTGTGATGTGGCAGGCAGCACTCGACTTGAGCAAGCAGTTGACATCGTTTGCCACCGAACAATGAAACGACTGCGAGTGGAACGAACCGCTCGAGTGGCGACGGGCGAGTGGCGACTGGGGGAGTGGCAGCCAAGTGCTTTGTGGTTGCACATAACCTGAAGTGGATGTCATCGATGAGCGGCAGAGAGCCCGGCCGGCCGGAGACTAGGTCACCTTTTTTCTTTCATCAGAAAAGATCTTTCGCCACTCGGTGCCGAGGCGAAAATAATGATTTTTGGAAGAGCTATTTTTGAAGTTGAGCTATTTGGGAGGGGGAAGTGGAATAGAGGAATGGAAGGTTTCCCTTTGGAGTTATACTCTTAAAGGGAGAAACGTGCATTTGAATCACAGTGGAACGGTGGAATGGAACATTAAATACATATGTATGTATTAGGGGCTTTCTTGGGGCTACTTTTTAAGTCAATTTATTTAATATAGGAATTTCTTCTTACATATTGGTGGAACGGGTGAATGGAACAGCAAATAGCTATGTACACATGTGTAAGGAGTTTCTTAGCCGATTTCTTTTTGATGCTGTACTCTCCTAGATATCAATTTACCGGCCGATCGTAGTGGAACGGTGGAATGGAACACAAATGCATGAGTGTCTATGATGTATATCACGGTATATCTATGAAATTCAGTTCTTCAAGAGTTACGATTCTCTTGCAATCTTAGTGGAACAGTGGATAGGAACAAGAAAAACAGATAGCTATGAGTGTAGGTCCTACTTGATCCTGGATACGCTTTGGGGTTAGGGGGATCGGGGCGAGACTTACCTCGCCTTGCCGTGTGCCTTGAATTGCGACACTTCGGCGTACCGCCTGCCCAGGGGCGCCTCCTGGGGACTGAGCAGAGCATCGTAGTGCAGGGCGCCCGGCGGGATGCCCTTCAGCAGCTGGAGACCAGCATTGGAGGGCAGTGATTGCCGCTCGGTGACATCCTCGCCGCGATTGGCAAAGTTCTTGAGCTGCTCCCGCAGGGAGTAGTCCACAGAGCTGGAGCAGGAGGTGGACTCGGAGGAGGAGGCGCTGGAGATGGAGCGTGGACCGGGTGGGCCAGCGTTGCCGTTCTGTAGATCCTCATAGGCGGCATGGGCATCCTCCGAAGTGGTGCTGCTGCTGCTGCTGTTGCTGCTGTTGCTGCTGGTCCTGGAACTGGAGGCCGATGACTGATTGCTGTCCATGCTGGCAATCGAATTGCGATTGCCATTCTCCAGCAGCAGTTCCTCCTGTTTGGATGTGGCACTGGCATGGGTCTGCATCTGCAGCTGCATCTGATTCTGATTGGGATCATCATCGTCTCCGTCCACCTGCTGTGGCACAATGATCAGGGATGTGCGCTTCCTGAGCGTCTCGTCCTTGGCGTTCATATTCTGTTTAAGAGTCTTGTCCGACTTTGTGTAGACAATCACCTCCACCTTGGTGGAGGCATCGCTGCACTCCACCACCGATGGAGCTCCTCCTACTCCTCCTACTACTCCTCCTCCTCCTCCTCCGATTGTGGCCGTCTCGTGCGACATTCTCGTGCTGTAAATTCGCTTTGGATTAGAGAACGAGTGTCACGGAATGAAATCGAATCGAAAATTATGATGCTACCAACTTGTGCAACTCATGAAGGAACCTGCCACTGCCGCACACCCACACACACACACACACACACATGTGTCAATCTCTTTTATTGATTCCGACATTTAATACCCTCCCTTGCATATCCGATGAGCACCACACTCGGTGCAGGGCCCCTTAAAATGTTATTACCAATAAAATGCCAAGCCAAAACATTGTCACAGCGGGGCAACACCTGCCATCTGTCACCATCCCCCTTCCCCCATACCCTTCAGGCATCCGTCCATTGGCCAGGAGCTTCAAAATGAGACCATTCTTAGACGTACGAACACGTGCCTCAACATTAAGATACTAGCAAGCGTACGATCCAGTCCAGAGAAAGACCCCCAATATCGGATATCCCTTATCATTCTGCCTTTGGGACATCCAGGGTAAATACAGGGCATACAACATTCCACAGCATTCAACTGTTTGTTGTATTATGAATTTTCAATAATAATATTTCTTGAGTGCTTGGTGCTTGGTGTCTTCTCTTCTGTTCTGTTTTGACACTCTGTGTGGAAGTATCGCATTTCGTTTTGTGGAACAAAATTATTATGCATTTCTCCACACAAGCGACAGAGACAGCGGAAGCCAAAAGACAAGATACTCTAGAGTCCGCAGC